GTTTGCATAATCCCTGCTCCGCTCCGGCCAGTCGGGTCTAAAAGAGGGTAAAACAAAATATTTAAAAAGTTGCACAAATAACAGTAAATAATTGTGGCTTTTACATCCATATAAGATAAAACATCGGTATCAATTAGCTGGACTTGATAATGATCTTAGCTCCTGCATACAAACACATGCAAACATGTGGAAAAGTAGTTTTTGGTTGTTTTTGACGTCTGTTGCAAGATTATTTAATGCCGTTTTAGAGTAGGTCAGAGCGCAGCTGGAAGCCACAGCGGGAGTCACAGCAGGACAACTCCTGACTTTACGCATTTATCTTTGTCTTGTTCTGATGTTTTTCATGCAGGTTTTTGCTCAAAGAAGTAAATTTATCAACTCTTTGATTATTTTGATATTTTTTTTCCATTTTCTTTGAGTCATTAGGTGATAATTAGCACTGTTGTATTTGGCAGAAAAAGGTGGAGAGAGAATTCAAAGTAAGACGACCGACTGTATGAGCACAACGTTTTATGAATGTTTCTCCACATGCATGAGGAACAGATCCATGTGATTAAACCGATTGTACATAAAGAAACTATGAGGAAGAATTAGGAGCTTGTTTTAAGGAAATAACTTAAAAATATTGATGAAAAAGTTTGATTTTTATTTTTATTGTAACATGGGCTCTGCACTGTTACCTAACAACCCAAGTGGAGCTCCAGCACGTTTGGTCAGCTGCTATTTTTCACTGTATATATTGGAAGAGACTTGCTTTGTTGTGGTTTTGTCATTCAGAAACCAGACAGCAAAGACACAAACTTTCACCAAGTGTTTTTGGTTTAGTGCAAATACCTGAAACTTTTCAGCGAAAAACAAAAGCTTGTTTTAAGTCAATAAGTCATAATAGATGTTTAGATATTGACTTAAAAGAAGCTCCTATATCTTGCTGAAAAGTCACTTGTTAGTTTTGTCTTATTTCAAGTGTACAAAGATATCAGCACTAGAAACTAGACCAAGAATACTCGGAAAAACTTTTCTGAGACAGGAAGTTAAAGCTTCCCTCGAAAACTTCAAAATAAAACTGACTGAACTAATTTATTCACAAGCTTAATGTAGAAAATGTAAATAAAAAAATTGACAAAACTGACATTTATAAAATGAAATTAAGGAAAGACTGAGACTAACTGTCATGCTTTTATAAAGCTGACTAAAACATACAGAAATTATGGATATAATAACATTTGTTTTGTGTTCATTGATTTATTTATTAGCCTTTCATTAAATTATTTCCCCCCTTATAAGCAGTCAGCTAATTAAACTAATCAGCAGCCAATTAAACAATCATTCAATGCATTTTTAAAAAATAGTATCTTCTGTTGATCAATAGATAATCACAATACGTTGACCTCTTTGAATTATCCACCTAAAAATTAACCAAAGTATGTAAAACTAAAACAACCACTATGACTAATAAAATAGAGCTGAAACAAAATCATATTTAAACCCACTAAACAACCAATTAAAACTAACAGAATTAGACAATCAAAAGTCACAATTAAATCAAAATAAACATTTCTAACCATGCTTATTCATCAGGTCAAGTTAAGATCTGAACAACAAAACAAACTTGATGAATTTTTCCTAAAAACAGCCTCTTTTTTAAATGTTTAATCAGAGAAAGCACTAATGAAACATATATTTTTTATTTTGTTCATTTGCTGCAGACAGTAGCAGCTTTTCAGCCTTTTCATAACCTGCAGGAAAAAGAAGAGACAAACGACTCTTCCTGGATGTTTCCGCTTTAAATTCAAAGTGTGAGCAAATCAGTTTCTGTTTTTGAATTACCTGAAGGAGAGGTTCAAAGAGCCGGGTCGTGGTTCTAGTTTACAGTAAGTTTGCTTGATGGATAAAAACATGGCAGCTTTAAAAAAAACTCTAAATTCACTAATCTTATTTTTTCAACACGTTGTTTTAGGATTGTAAGGTTCTTAACTGTTTTGGTTCTGATTGTTTCTAAACTGACCCGAAGCGTCCTTCCAGTTAATCCCCGACCCTTTGACCTCAGCAGGCAGCTTACAGGAAGTGATATTTAGTGAAACAGGACTAAGATTTAGCTGGTTTATAACAGATTAAGCTACATATTTAGTTTGGAAATTAAATGCTCAGCTTGGATAGTAAATATTTCATTTCAAACTGAATATTTAATATGTATAAAATTTACCTTAAAGCTAAATATTTAGATACAAACTAAATATTTAGGTCTGAATAAAATATTTAGGTTGGAAAATAAGTATTTTGGTACTAAATATTTAGTTGGAAAACTAAATATCAGCTCCAAATTAAATATTTATTTGGGAACTAATTAACTTCTTTATTAAATATTTAATCTCCAAACTAAATGTTCAATTTCCAAACTAAATGTTTGATTTTAAAACTAAATATTTAGTATGAAATTAAATTTCAGACGTAAATCTGGTTAGTTAGTTTTGAGCTCAAACAATTACATTTGAAAATGGACACATTTCTTCTTTGACAGGCTAAACAGACCAAATTATTATTAATATTTTTACAGTGTAACTTTTACAATAGTGATAATCAAGAACAGCTGCTGGACTGACGACTGAACGACAAGTCAAAATAAAAATAATTTTAAAAAATTCAAACACCGGTGCACTTTCTCTCACACGCTGAAGAAACAAAAACATCCAAAATCTGTGGAGTTTTCTCCAACGCGGGTCGTTCAGAAACCCGTTTCGGATGCAACAGAAGTAAATCTCTGATCTTCCTGTCTTGGAAATAATTAGGCAGGAGAATGAAAGAGCAAGGAGGTGGTAAACTGCTCCAGGCGAACCTGAAGGGAGACTTCACAGAGCATCTGCTGCTGTGGGCTACGTGCCTGGCTTAGCGAAAGCCTGCAGACGGATAAACAGAGACACTGAGGCAGGTTCCTCAAACCCTGGGTTTGTGACGTCTTACAGGTGTTTTAATAAAGCAGGTAAAACATTTTATGGAGATTTAATGTCTCAATAAGCTCCTTTACCTGTTTACTGTCTTACAGAAGTTTTAAAACCATTTAAACTGTTTTACATTCTATTATATGTGACGGGAAAACTTTAGGAAAACGGAGTGTCTTCAGTCAGAGGCTTCTTCAGATTCGCTGTACTACAAACTGCTGCGAGGAATCTTTCCACAATAACTGACTAATAATTTATATTTAATTTCCCTTTGGTATTAGTGAAGTATTTTTTTTTTATATATTTTAGAATTTGAGTTTGTAATAGGTTATAAAAACAACATATTTGTAAATAACAAGCAAAGTCGTCTCAATTTCTCAGTACACTTTAAATAACACAAAACTAAGTTATAACTAACTTTTCATCAACATAATGGAGATTGTTTTATGTTAATACTTCCTTAAAATTGATCAGCTGTTTGCCATTTATTGACCAATAATGAACTAAAAACACCAAATCAGAGATTTTAAAAATGGAGGACAGTTTGAAAACAATACATAGAAAACATTTTCCATTTTACAAGAGGAAAAAAATCAACATAGCTAGTCTGTTTTTAATTGGTATTTAATAATTATTGACTTAAACAAGCTACTGTATCTTGCTGAGTAATTTAGTTTTGCTTTATTTCAAGTGAACTAAGATAATTGCACTAGAAACTAGACAACAATATTTAGTAACTTTTTACGTTTTTGAAGTTTGAAAGAAAATATCACAAAAAAACATGAATTAATATAAACTACCACAATTTCAAACAATATTTAATTAGCAAGCTAAAATTTCACCTACAAACTAAATATTTTGCTTAAAAATTAAATATCTCCTTACCAAACTAAACATTTAGCCACAGTTTCAAACTAGATATTTAATTAGCAAGCTTAAGATTTTGTTTACAATCTAAATATTTAGACGGAAACCAAATATTTAGTTATCAAGTTAAATATTTCTCTTACAAACTAAATATCTAGTTACTAAATATTTAGTTCTTATCCATAGATAACTACCACAATTTTAAACTAAACATTTATTTACCAAGGTAAATATTTTTCTCACAATTTAAACTAATTTTTTAGTTTACAAACTTACAAGCTGTTTTCAGTTTAAAAACTAGATATTTATCTCCAAACTAATCACAAATGCCACAATTTCAAACTAAATATTTAGTTAGCAAGTTTCACATTCTAAATATTTAGATGCAGACTAAATATTTTACCAAGTTATATATTTCTCTTACAAACTTACAAGCTTTGAAAACTAGATATTTAGCTCTCATTCACACCCAAATGCCACAGTTTTGAACTAAATATTTATTTAGTCTGCAGCAGGTGAGGAGTTGGTCATAATGAGAGGAACTTTTGTAGTTTTTTTCTTCCTCATGATCTGCTTGTTCAGCTGTAATTGGCCCTCTGATATCACCTTCCCCGTCAATACAGCAGCTAATTGAGGGCTGTGAGATACACTTGGCGCCTCATCATTCACTCGCTAATAAAATCCCAATGACAACAGATGATAAATAATTGAATAATTGAATAAATAAGCGCAAATTTGCTGCAAGTGAAACTAACTGTCAGCTGTTTTTGCTGCAGTGACTGACAAGCAGTTAAATTCAATTTACTCCCCATCCTCCCGTCATCGTAGCACCGCTTGCGTCTCTGCAGGCGCTCTGTGACTATGCAACACATGGACAGCAGAAGAACCGCGCTCCAAACCATCATTATGTGACACAGCAACTACACTCAGTCATGTCCGGATCTCAGCCTTACCGCTTAGCAGCTTTTCGCCTCATTTTTGGAAAGATAAGATCACAAAAATCATGTGTCTGTGGATCCCTCCTCGGAGCTTATTGCATTCAGAAAAAAAAAGGACTCCTCCAATTCTGACTGGAGACTCGGCGGAGAGGGAGAGGAGAAAACGGAGAGAGGGGCAGAGCCGCGAATTGAATGGAGGAGGAGGAGTTGTGGGAGTGATGGAGGGAGGAGGGCGGAGGTAGAAGTGGAAGTGGCTTACCTCTTGTCGTGCCGCATCTCTCCATCAGATTCCTGGGAGGAGGAGGAGGAGAAAACGGGATGAAATGATTGCGTGCATTTATCAGGCAGATTTATCTGCTGCTGCACCTCTTATCTGCTGTTTAAAGGGTCTCTGCGCCTCACCAAACAAATATATCCATTATTTTACAGAAGAGGGAGGGAACAGAGCAGAAGAAACGATATGTTTATGCTGTACTGCAGATGCAGAGAAAGTACCCAAAGGTGATCGATTACGGTTTATTTACTTATCAGAAACGCAGAAAAAAAAAATAATTAAAGGAAAATAAGTGAAACGGTAAACAACACTGATCCAAGGTTGTATCTAAAACCCTATAGCTAATAAATAAAGAACTGTAATTAATTAACCTATGAATGCTTTATAAATCATTAATAACTGAAGATGAACTGATCTGAAAATTTGGGCCGATATACCATTTTAATATTGCTGTTATAGCCAATTACCAATATTTACCAATATTTTACATATTTCACCAATTTTGATACATAACTGAAGGCAAGAAGATAAAAATAATCCGGTTTTATTTACCAAACCGATATTTTAAAATATGAGAAATATCGGCCGATACCGATGTTAGTACCGATATACCATCCATCCCTACTAATAACTGTTTATCATACATTAAATCAGTGCTTCTCAATTATTTTCCGTTATGCCCCCCCTAGCAAGAAGAAAACTATTCGCGCCCCCCACTCCCCACCGTGACTATCCATCTCTGCATAACATTTTTTCATTAACATTAAAGAAAAAAAGAAAGACATATGGTCAAACTTACAAAGAATAACTTTATTAAATCGTGTTTTAAGTCTGCAACAGAAAAGATTTTAAGTGCATCAATGCCTGAAATTAAAAATAAATAAATCCATGTCTACTGCTGCAGGCAGTATCAGCTCCTCTGCTATGGTGTGGGCTTTTTGCACTGCGCAATTTGGTACGCCACCTTATATGATGCTAGCAGCGCTCGATGGTTTACTGAAGTAGCCTTCACAAAGCGGGATGACTGTTGGCAATATTCAGCACGTTTTCGCTGAAAAAACTCTAGCGGCTTATCGGCGTGATTGGGATGTAACGTATTTAAGTGACGCGCTAATTTATTTGGCTTCATGCTGTCCGCTGCGAGCATTTTTAGACACAGCAAACACACCGGTCTTTCCTCTTCTCCAACTGTAGTCACAGTGAAGCCAAGCGCTAAATAAGATTCGTCGTATTTCCTCTTCTTAGCTTTCGGTTGACTTTCTGTTGTCTCATTATCTTTGTCTCTCTCCGCTTTTCTTTTCATCCCTGTGAAAAACTTTTTCATGTTGGGGGTTGTTGAATAACGGACGCCATAGACTGAACGCAGTCGGAGCTTTTTGTTGACGTAACACTGCTAACCAAGGCAAACCTGTTGTCTTGTAAGTCGTAAAATGTTGCACTGTCGCAAACGTGACAGAAGTAACAATGAGAGCGCCACTGCCGCCTACTGTGCGCAATTACACTTTATACTAGTACGGCCAAAAAAAAAGCCTGTTCCCCAGGATCACACGCGCCCCCCCAGGTATCGCACCGCGCCCCCCAAAGGGGGCCCGCCCACTATTTGAGAAGCACTGCATTAAATAAAGATGAGAAGGAAGGAGATTATATGCTAAATTAGCATATTTTATATGCATATTGTGACATATTATAGTCACAATATTTGAAATGCTAAATGTTTAGCATAGCGGTAGATTTGGCTCAAGAAGCCGATAGATTTTGTCTCCTTAATTAATGCATAATAAACAGTCATTGATGATTTATGAAGTGTTTGTAAATGAATGAATCAGATATTTATCAGCCATCTATTGTAAAGACTTATAAGTGACACCCTGCATGAATACAACATTTCATAAAAGCAAGAAAAACAGGAACGCAAGTTTTGTTTGTGGCCATTATGCATAAAAGAAAGACTCAAAGATGCGTATAGGCTAAAATATTTGGTATTTCTGGAGCAGAATCAACATATGAATGATAAAACCACACTTCTGTGTGTTTTTGGAGAATGTTGCAGGTGTTTGTGTGCAGGCACGGGTCCAGCCAGCCTCTGGGGTTTAATGTGGAGGAATCAGGAAGGTGTATTAATAAATGTCACAGGTACGCAGCGGGAACATACAGTTTATGGGAGCGGGGAGAGCGTGTGTAGCCGAGCTGCTGTGTGGGTGTTACAAACATAGTGAATGATACAGCAGGATGACTCATACAGCCACTGAATGAGACAGCAGAGTAATCCCCCCTCCATCCCCCCTCCATCCACCCTCCATCCCCCCTCCATCCATCCCTCCATCCAGCCTCCCTCTGCAGGGGCAAGCCTGGAAAAATGGAGGCAACGAGCTGTGGAAGAAAACTCATTCATCACCTCTGAATGTTTTATTTGCTTTTAACAGGGGTGTCCAAATGTTTGCAAGAAGGGCCAAAGTAGCTGACTCCCAAAAAAAATCAACCTTAAATGAATCTAATAAAGAAGAATATTTATTTTAGATCCAAAATTTGAAAGGGATTTTTACGACGGTGTATTACGGTAATTGTAGATGGGAGTAAATTTCCACCAAAAACTCTGAAATTTTATTAATTTCAGGAATTTTCTACATTCGAATTTTGTATTTTTTTTTTTAGAACATTTCTGATATTGTTCTAAAAATTAGTTGGTTTTCTTTCCCACCAAATTTCCCTTTTTTTTTTTTTTTTTTTTATGTAAAACTTTTTAGATTACTCTCGAAATTTTGGAAATGTTTGGCAGAAATTAACTACTTTTTACTGCCCTAATTCTGCATGTTTGCTGGATTGAAAAAAAAATAATTTTGAGTTTCTTTTGGGCTCAATGGAATAAATTTATTTTCAGTAATAAGAACATGTTTTGGGTCATTTTGTTTCAAAATGTTTGCTGTATTTAGACAAGTTTAATAAAGAATACAAGCTAATTTTAATGAAAAGCAAAGTTGGCTTTCAATAAAAGTCTGTTGTTTATAAAAATACAAATACTTTGCGTTGTATTTTATATTTTCCTGTATGAGTTAATCATTTTAATAATTTTACCCTAATTACAAACTAAAAACAGACCCTAAATTTTGTGTTCAGCTTTCTTGAACACTTTCAGGCCTTTGGAGTCGTATTCCCTGATGGTTTGAAGGTCTATAAGTGATAATAAACATGTTAATTTAATTGTTTTTGCTCAAAGTGATTAGATTTTACTCCTGAGCTTCTTTCAGAATGAGCGTTTTTAGGGCCTCTGTCACTTTAAATCCAAATAAATTGCTGCTAGCCACGCCCCCAACTCTACTGCAAAACAGCTGAAACACTGAGCTCCTTTAAATCCAGACCAAAAAACTTAGTAATATTGATCAATGCATCTGATGTGTATTGATGATTTGGACTAATTGTAATGGTGACCAGAGTTGGAGGTTAAATCTACTCAATTACTTACTTTGTAACTTTACCTTTAGGATTATGTTTACTATTCTGTACGTTTTACTTGTTCTGAGTAATTTTATTTTGAAGTATTGCTATTCTTGAGTACAATTTGGGGTATTCAGCCCACCTCTGACATTTTCATGGTGTAAAACATTTCGAATTACCTTTTTGCCAATGTGTGCTGTGCCAATAAACTTGATTGAACTTGACTAAAACGTGTCGACTTCAGGCAGAAGTCGCTGATATCTTAAACCAATCGATCGGTTATCCGGACGTACTCACAGAGATATTCACAGGCCTGGGCAGTGACGCAGACCTGTAGGAGACTCTAGGAAATCCTTCTGGCCAGCTGAAAACCGGACATGGCCGACACGATCGCTGCTCATAACTTGGAAATCCCGCTTTCTTGTCCTTTTCTCTGCCTTTTTCCGCCTTTTGGTTTTGCTCCCAGGAAGGTTTTTCTCTCTCTTTATCACTTTGTCTGCCTTTCTCTCCTCCTCGATCCCGCTCCCAGGAGTAATCTTTTCTCTTCTCTCTTTCCTTCCTGTCTTTCTCTGATCCCAATCCTCCGTTTCTCTCCCATGGAATCCGGTTTCCCCTCTCCTTTCCTTTCTCTAAACTGTTTGGGCTCTTTTCTCTCCCCAGGGTGCCATTAGCGACAAGCTCATCCAGCCGCCTCACTCTGTCAATGTCTGTCTCCAGATAAAACCTCCCAGTGGTCGGCTGCGTCTGGATCTTGGTACATATCTTTACGTGGTGCTCTGGTTTGGAGAGACCTTCACTCTTTAATTTCCTTAGCACTTCCTCAGGCTCCAAGATTTTGCAGCTAGGAAGTGTCTTGCTCCACTGGTGGATGGAGTTTTTCAGGTCTTTGGAGTCGTATTCCCTGATGGTGTGAAGATTACAGCTGGTAGGACTGTACCACAAGTTTGTGGCCAATGTAGATGGTGGCGGAGGATTCATTGGGTCGGGATAAAGGGGCAGCCGAGTTACTGCTGGCGTTGGCAGAAGTTTGTCAGGATGAAGAGGCGTGGGCAGTTGTTGAGGAGACTCGCCGTTAGTTTTCAACACCCTGCAGGTCACTTCGTTCAAAAACTGGGAGAATTTACGCCTGTCCGCTGCCTTTTCATCTTGCCTAGGTGGCGAAACTGTCGAGGCGTTCTTATTTGGGCATGAAGAGGTGTCTTTTTGTTGCACAACCCTTGCCGTAGTGGACTCTGGTTTGCTTTCGGCTTTACGTGAAAAAACAATGTTCTGGTAAATTATTTCATCCTCAGATTTGGCGCTAAAGGACGTCTGGTCAGCAGGGCAACTTTTACCATCTGATTCCCTGGAAACTTGGCTGCTTTCTTGACTGATGGGTGTCCGTAAGAGGCAGGTGGCCCCTGAGCTCCAGCTGTTAGTATCCCAGCTGCCATCTTCGTCACTTGAACTACTATTGCAACTTTGGAGACTTGCAGTCCACTCACTGGGGCTGGAGTTCTCCAGACTGCCCAGCGACCGCCTCTTTAGCTGAGAAATCGATTTCCTAAGGTTGGGTAGCGAGCTTTGGAGGCTAGGCAATGATCCTTGAAGACTTGGCAAAGACCCTTGTAGACATTGAACGGATCCTTGAAGGCTAGAGAAGGAGCCTTTTGAACTTGGACTAGATGCGCTACGAAGACTGGAGAGAGAGCCCTTTAGGACCGGGGAGGACAGACGGCGCAGTGGACACTCGTCCTCCTGGTCGCTGTAGGCTCCAGAGAAGACTGGACAAGACGCAGTTGAAGAGCACGATCCCCGATCCTGTCGAGTCGAACCTGTTCTGGATCTCGGTTGTCGCCTCAAGGTGGCCATGTTTATCACCTTCCTTCTCTTACTTTGAAAAACCTTTTGTGATCCTTTCTGCACAGACTCAAGCCTGAGACCATCGTCTGAAATAGACACAAGCAATTTAACCATGCCAGACCCCGACCAATGGTTTCCTGTCCTCTGGCTTTGCCCAACTTTAATTGTCCGCCCCAGTTGCCCTGGCGTCCGACTGTGCGCCCAAGCTGTTGCAGGGTGACACACTTTTGCTGCCTCAACACGGCGCGCAATGAAATCACAAAGAGGTCAGCATCTGATAGTTAAACAGCTCATTGCCTCTCTCATTCAGTTCTGCACTCTTCTTTCTGAAAATAGCATTATAGATTAGCAGCTGTTCACCGTCTGTAATGAATCTGTGTATTGACATGGGTGGTGTGGAAGTACAGCACGGTATTCAGGTCAGGAATATTGACGAAAGCAAACCACGTGAAATCTGGTTTGTTTGCAGAAAGGAATCAAAGTAGCCAAGCATCGATTGGTCCCACATGGTCGTTTTTATTGCCAGTCGTTCTGCCAGAAACGCTTTGGAACAATGAGGTTTAACAAGCTTATCACGAAGCAGAAAATGTACATTTGAAGAGAAACCTTCTGTGAGAGTGATGCGGTTGACGAGCAGCATCTGTGCCCTGTTGATTGGATGCAAAGGAGAACCTCAAGCAGATGTTTGTGTGTCCAGATGCCAGCTGTGATCTGAAGCTCACAGGAAAAAGAAAGTTGCTGGGAACTTAAAAATACAACTAATTATGCACAAGATCAAATAGCTTTTCATGGGTTTATTCATATGCAACAATGTCTTGAGTTTTTCATTTTCAAGGAAACATATGCACAGAAAATGTGAAACAGTTCAAGACTAAATATATGATTTTAAAGTTTCTCAAACAGCCTCAAAATAATATTAGTCTGTTTTAATTTTCTACAATAACTTGGGTTATTTAGCCTTTCATAGAAGAAAAACAAATTAGCATACTTACAAAAATAATTACCAAACTGTTAAATATTTATCTTCAAACTTAATATTTACTTAGCAATCTTGGAAAATTAATATTTAGTTTGGATCTAGATATTTAGATTACAACCAGTTTCCAAATTATGATTTTATGAACTAAGAGGAAAAAACTAAACCAACCTGACTAAATGTGAAAGTGAGCTACAAATCTACGTATTTATTTTGTATGTCTGTATTTTATTGCTTGATTTATTGGGCACAAAACTTTATTTCTCAGGTCTGAGCTGAAGCAGAGGATTCAGCCAAGCCTTTTCTGAAAGTTTATAGCATATTTCAAAAAGTATCCCTGAGTAAATCTGCTGAATAAAATCCTAAAAGGTGAAATCAGATGATGGAGAGCGAGATTAGAGAGGACAAAATGAACCCTTGGAGAAAGTGCTGCTGCCTCTCAGGAGCCGTTGTTTCACACTAATCATATTTTAGATTCAACCAGTGGAACCGTTAATTACAGCTTTAGAGCCGAGGGCGACTCTTCTGTTAACCACATGCAGATGAACTGTTACTCTGTCATCAATCTTACCACCAATTATACGAGCCACAACTTAAGCTCCAGTTTGTCCAAGGAGGTTTTACTTTAAAAGACAAAAATAAATCCCATCATTTCCCCAATTATGTGTTTTTAAAAGTTGTACTCAGGTATAAAGTATGTATAAAGTCGCCAACCAATAAATTACGCTAAATAAGTATTTGGTAAAAAAGTAAAATAACTGATCAAATTATCATTTAATATGAAAATATTACACAATCACACAGAGCAAAATGTAAAGGTGAGTGGACATTTTGGTATTCTACAGATGGAAATGATTATAAGTTATGAAAAATAACAAAATAAAATTTTTCTTTCTTTCAATAAAAAACTTCCAAGAAAGAGAGAAAAAAAGTGTTTTGTATTTTATTCGATATTATTATTTTTGATATTTTCTCCCATATTGTTCAGAAATATTTGTTTGACGAGTTTAAAGCTGCAGTTTGTAACTTTTATAAAAATATTTATTTTTTACATATGTTAAATTTATCACCATGTTGTGACAGAATAATATGAGATAATCTGTGAAAAGATCCATCTTATCCACTTCCTCTCTGAAATACTATTGCCATCGGAAGAAATGGGCCAAAAGCAACCAATCAGAGCCAGGAGGCGGGACTTAGCGCTGTCAATCACTCTCATGTACTCACTGCTCAACATGCTGACACCAGAGAAATAGCTTACCGTTACAGGAAAACTGTTTATCCCTGCCATCGGTAGGGAGCAGAAAGCCATACGTAAAAAGTAACTTTAAAAATTATTTGCTGTATTTAGTTGGAAATCTGGATCAATATTAAAATCAATTTCTTTTTAAATACTTAAAAACTGTTTGTGATAGATTTTCTACAGTGTTCAGCAGAAAACAAATCTGATGTCTCATTTGTTCCTAGATAAAATTTTCAGAATGTTGTTCAAGATTTGAATAAATTAATAAAAATGGCATTTAAACAACCCGGCTGAGAATAACATGATTTTCTCTGATTTAAAAATAAAAGCTAAAAAGACAAGATTGTTTCATTTAAATGTCTTTCTCTTATGAAAATTCAGAATAAAGAGCCGTAAAACAACAACAACAACAACAACAACAACAACAACAAACTCCCCTCTGTGTTGTCAACACTGACGATGCCATGGAAACAGCGGCCTGCGATCTGGATCAGCTCCTCCGTCTTATCTGTGTGCTTGAGCAATCAGTATCATGTTTTATTATTTATTTATTTTTCAAATGTCAGAGCCATACAAAGAGGAAATGTCAGATCCGGAGATGGAACCTGATGTGAGCCGCATTTCTCACTTCAGCGGCAAGAAAAGGAAAAAATGTGTTTATTTAAGCGGCTGAAAGGCTCCAGGCGGCTCGAACCGAAATGAATGCTTGTGCTTTGTGAAAGCTTTGTATGTATCAGCGCTGCGTCATTGAAACGGCGCAGGTTTTCTCTGATTTATTGACGCAATTACGTGTTTATGTATGTTTGTGTAACAGCGCCCTCATGTGGCGAACCCGGAAACAACACATTTTCATTGTTTCCTTCTCTAAATGACAAACTGACATCATTTTATTCCATCATGCATAACTCCATCTGTTTTTATGCTTTTCAAAGCCTTTTCGTTCAGACGTTTGAATAATTTAGGCATTAAAACGTCAAACATGCGATGAACCGATTTTGAAATGTCATTTTTGAAGCAGAGATGGTTTGTGTCCAAACTAAATTTATGACGAATAAAAATGTTTCAGCTCAGCTAGAAAGCTGAAAATGGATTACAGATGTTAAGCTGAAGGATGTTGCATCTCCTAATATATTATGTGAGGATTTTTTTGATTTTTCATTTTATTTTCTGCACATAAAATATGTGGGACCTTTACATTGCAGAGTCAAAAAGCAAATATGTTAAAGGAAATAGTTTCATAGTTTTCCCTCTTATTCTAATGATAATTAGACACTACTGCTGTCTTTTGCTTTATCATATGAATAAGAAAATTATTACTGTTTCTAAATGAGGAAATCTATACATAGTCAAGATTATTATTTTTTTTAGCATTGGATGCATGAATTCACATTTTCTCCATACTTTTTTATTTTTATTTTAGCATTTTGTGGTTTTACTGATTATTCTCAGAGCCATGGTGATACAACAACATTTTAGGAATGGACATTCATAAAGATAGGGAAAAAATGGAGAATCATTTTCTGCCAAAAACAGGAGAAATCTTGGAATTCATCTAGGAAACTTCCTAGGAAATACTTGGTAAGTTTTAGCTTCAAAAGTAAAAAAAAATAAAAAATCAGGATTGATCTCAGAAATCTTTACAAAAAACAGAAAAAAAAACAAGATCCAAAAGTGTAAAAATTTTCTAGAAAAAAACTAAAACTTTCAGATTAATCTCATTTCTGAGACTCAAGAGTTAAAAAATAATTATGAGAAAAAAAAACAAAGAAAATTTGATCATC